TTCAAGGACATGTACTAAAAGTGTCATTGGTACAAAAGCCAAAAGTGGAAAAACTCGTGTTAATTTGCAAAGCGATGAATATGAAGGGTCAAGATTGTATTCAAGAGTGCCACATTAATTAAGAATGATAAACCAATATACCTTTGATAGTAGCAACTTAAATCATATTTCGGATTTTGCAGTTATTGGTGATGTGAGAGGACGTGGTCTGATGCTAGGGGTTGATCTTGTGACTGATAGGAAGCTGAAGACTCCTGCAAAGGTTGAAATACTTCATCTAATGGAAGAAATGAAAGGTGCATTTCTTTTTCTTTACTCTTCTTCTGTGTTCAGGCCTGTTCGGAAAACAGAAAAGTGCTCGAGAAAGAAATTCGGGAGGAGAGCATTGGATAAGTTTGGGAAGAAAGAAAATGTTGATGAAAGTAAAATATTGGGGTCAAACTCAATAATCTTAGGTTTTATATTTGCTAGTATTATTTTTTATTCATTTATTAGTATTACATAAATGCTAAGAAATCTATAGATATGTAAAAAAAGTTTTTGTTTTCCCTAGTACTTTCCGAGATTCAAACATAGCCCAAAATTGTTCAGATTATATCTGATAAACAATTATTGTTTTCAGAGATGGGAGTACTCGTAGGAAAAGGTGGATTTTTTGGGAATGTATTCAGAATCACTCCACCACTCTGCTTCACCAAGGAAGATGCTGGTTTGTCCTTGATCTTTATAAGGAGTATATTTTAGTATTGCCATTACAATTCTTTCTTGATTTTTAATATCTGATTGGATCCTAATCCCATGTTTTACGCTTGTTTTTAAAGATTTTCTTGTAGATGTGATGGATTACTCTATGTCAAAGATGTGAAGTGTGTAGGAGATAAACAAAGAGATCTGTCTACCTGTACTTAGCCATTCAACAACCTTCTTCTCCTATGGAGTCGCTTATTCTTCTGTCATATATTACTGTTGTTGTTTGTTTAGCCATCACAAACAAATAAGTGCCATATATATATGGCAGGGAGATTATGAGACATCACCTCGTTGTCTCTATCTCTCGCACATTTATTCTTTTTATGTTTCATTTGAATGTCTAAATAGTGGACGTGTTATTATGGGTAAATAGAAACCTTTAGTTTATTCTCAAGACTCAACTTTTGTGGACTCAAGTTTGTTGTGAAATTTCCATCTTTTGTCATTCGAGATTGCAAATTCTTTTTGTATGACATTTCTCAAAAAGGTTCTCTTTGTGAGATGGTCTGCGAATGGAGCTGCATGGCTCTTGCTTTCATGTCAGAATAGGGGGCCAATGACCTCTAGCCCAGTTGATTGGAGAGATGATATATTATCAATTTTGTGACTAAAGTATTTCAAATCCCCCAAAGACTCGCAGTAATATAATTAATATTGAGGTTATAGATGACAATATGGGGGGATTCATCTAGGGGGGATTAGCGATCGGCTTGAGCATGTTTTATCTCATACTATCGTATTAGATTTCAACAATTATAGAATACTTAGAGAACATAGATCTATCAAACTGCATAAGTACATTCACATTGAAACAAATTTGACCAGAAGTGGTCGCACGTAGGGGTGGCCCGGTTCCGGTCTGACTGGCCCGGGAACTGGACCGGACCGCCATTGTGCGGAACCAGACCGGCTTGTAACCGAGATCGGTTCCGGGCCTAGGACCGGCCCGGGGTGTTTGTGGGGGGCGGTTTTGGGCTGCACCTCCTTTGGAACTGGCCGGGCTGGGCCCAATTTTTTTTTTTCAATTTTTTTTGGTGGTAGGCGATTGGGTTGGGTGTTGGGGGGTAATTAGAAAAGCTAATATATATATATATATATATATATATATATATAGGAAAATATTCAAGTAAGGTAGGCCTAAGAATTGAAATTCTTAGGCCTCTTTCATTTGAGGTGCTTCTGAGTAGAATTTTTTGATGAAATTTTGTGAGCATGTTCTCCATGAAGTGTTGATTATGCCCACCAAATTTCGGAAAAAAATTAAATCGGGAAGTCGGTTTAATAATTTTTTCAAAATTGCACAGGTTTTTAAATATATAAAGTACAGTTTTTTTTCCAACAATTTATTTAAATGACTTCCCGATTGAATTTTATTGTGAAACTTGGTGGACATCATCTTCAATCCATGGAGAATATGCTCACAAAATTTTATCAAAAAATCCGACCCGGAAGCACCTCAAATGAAAGAGGCCTAAGAATTACAATTCTTAGGCCTACCTTACCTTAGCATTGTCCTATATATATATATATATATATATATATATATATATATATATATATATATATATATATATATATAGAGAGAGAGAGAGAGAGAGAGAGAGAGAGTGGTCTTCCGGTCAGGTATACCTGACCGGAGCCCCGTCCGGCCTCCTCCATTTGGGGGCCTTCCCGGTGTTATTTTTTGCTCAAATTTTTTTTGTAGGTTCCTCATCAAGTCTAGTTCATCCATACAAATTTCAGCCAAAAATTCAATCGGGAAGTTCGTCAAATGATTTTTGCAAGTTAACTGGTCCGAAAAATACATATTCCGGACCAGTTGACTTGCAAAAATCATTTGACGACCTTCCCGATTGAATTTTTGGCTGAAATTTGGTATGGATGAACTAGACTTGATGAGGAACCTACAAAAAAAATTTGAGCAAAAAATACCACCGGGAAGGCCCCTAAATGGAGGAGGCCGGATGGGGGGAGTGGTCCGGCCTGGGCGGACCTGAACATTCGTGTATGTATGTATGTATATATATATACATATATATATATATATACATATATATATATATATACATATATATATATATATACATATATATATATATATACATATATATATATATATACATATATATATATATATACATATATATATATATATACATATATATATATATATACATATATATATATATATATATATATATAAATCGGCCCCGGCCCCGGTGGAATCCCATGCCGGTTCTGGGCCTGTACCCACACACAAAAAGCCCGGTTTGGACCGGCATGGGCCGGATCCGGTCCATGTCTAGTCGTAGGTGATAGGATTACTACTTCTTTGTCCCGTTAAGATTGTCTCATCTTTCCTTTTTGGTCTATCCCTCTAAAATAGTCATATTAAATTTGGTAAATTTGTATGATTCTACATCATTCTTATTTTTTTCTTACTTTATCAATTCAATATGAAACACGTAAATCAACGTTTTTAATACATGCATGAACTCTTCTTATCAAATGTTAGTGGGATGAAAGTTGTATTAGTCATATTTTTATAAATAGGTTTTATCTTAGAAATATTTTTGAAAGAACTTCTTAATTAACATTCACACGGTAGGGATACTGCTATAGTGATACTCTCTAGGGTTATCGGTCGATAACCCTACGTCTTGGTTTGTCCGCCTTCGTTTCTTCGAAGCGCAAGTTTATTGGTTAGGACTGCGGCAAGCAGAGTGGTGTAGCCGATTGGTTAGCCGATCGGTGGTCTCAGATTGGTAGCGGAGGCGGCGGTCTTGGGTATTTAACCAGGCTGTTCGGCCGGTAGCAGGCAGGGCTTTTGGTCAATCGATCTTAGACTCCATGGAAAACGTTGTTGATCGATACAAGCGGATGGCGATCGAAGACAACGAGAATGAGATAAACCTGGACGTTGGGGAGGCTGAGGACGTACCGGTGGAGGAAGTGGCGGTGGGCTTTCCGGTGCTCGGGCAAGTCTTGACTGATCGCAAGGTTAGGTTCGCGGAGTTTAAAGAGAGGCTGGTTACTCTCTGAAGGTCAGGAAAAGGTATGTCAATTAAGGAAATCAGAGATAGGAGGTATCTGTTTTCTTTTAATCATCGCTTCGATATGAAACGTGTTCTGGATGGGGGTCCCTGGCAGTATGAACGTAGTTTGATCTTGCTTAAAGAAATTTTGCCTGATGATATACCACACAAAATCATTTTGAATGAGGCTGAATTTTAGGTCCAGATTCATAATGTTCCCTCTAGTTTGGTCAACCTAGGCACTGTTAGACGTGTTGGGAATTTTTTAGGAGAGTTTGTCAAACATGATGATTACCAGAAAAAGGAAAAAATTGAGCCATATATGCGAGTTAGAGTTCTTATGAAGATGGATAAATCTCTAAAGAAGGGGACAACCTTGAAAAAAGAGGGCAAAAGTTTTTGGGTGGACTTTAAATATGAAAGATTACCCACCTTTTGATTTATCTGTGGGATGGTAGGTCACTCAGATAACTTCTGTCCTCTGAATTATGAAGAAGGTTTGGTTTTGGAAAAAAGATTTGGATCTCATCTTAGAGCAGGGAGCGGGGTGAAGACTAGCCCGACAGGAGAGCAAGCTGGATTCCTAGAGGGTTCATCGAGCTCTGGCAAATCGGGAGTCGGCCCAGTTAAGGAGGTAATGACTGAATCTGCTCAAAGTTTCACGCAAGCAGGCGAGGTGCCTAAGGAAGAGGCCTCTAAAAGAAGGAAAATATGGGAGGTCCAGACAGAGGAAGATCCAGAAGAAGACAAAATGGTCACTGATGGGACAAAAACGGGGAGGAGGCGGGCTTAGCTCCTTAAGCCCGCCGGATGCACTGGTTGAAGGTGTGAGGCCGAATGCTGGTGGCCTGGTTCTCGTTGTCTGGCAGCATGAAGGATGCTTTTTATTCTGTTTTGTTTTCTGTTTAGTTAAATTTAGAGTTTGTTGTTGATTTTGTTTTTGGTTTAATGTTCTGGTTTGTAAGACATTGGTAACCGAGTTAGGCTTATTGTTTCCGGTAATGGATCAATGAATTATATTGCTACGACGATTAATTCCGAGTCTGGTTCGAGGGATGACGGTTATCAATTTTCGTTTTGTCAAATGACTCATATTGTGAACTTTTATTGTTTATTTATATAAGCCGATTTCCTTAAAAAAAAATTTAACATTCACACGGTGGATTTGGGCACACTAAAAATAATTTTTTTGCCACAAAATTACTAGTACTACGTACGTAGTACTCCGGCCCAAGAAAAATTAGTTTTGCTGGACCGCCGCAACTGAGGTGACTTCATCTCCAACTCACACACCCACCGGCTCAGAAGTACCGCGGCTACGGCGCCCTCCCTGCACCTACCGTCCACCGCACCGCCGCACGCCACAGAACATTCAGACTCAGTCACTCTGCTAGGTAAAACAACCAACTCCACAACTTAATCGTAATTGAAAGATCAAATTAGGAACTCAGGAACTGTGATTATGGAGTAGCTTTTTCTCTCCGAAATTAATTGTTGGACTTGTGAACTGTTTCGTTTTCTGTTTTTAGATAGAATGCTAGTGTTTTATTTTCAACTCCTTTTGACCTTTTCCCAAAAATGATGAATTTGATGAAGCGGCAGAAGAGTGTTCCTATAATCTCAAGGGTATCCAGGCCGGTAGCCGTGTAGACGTGTAGTGAAGTAATTTGTTAGTTTTGCTAGCAGATTTGCATGAACCCCATACTCCCATTCCCATTATAAGTATTAATCCATATTTTAATATGAATATGACGGGTGGGGAGAAGGGGGACCCATAAGAAAAAAAGTGTGATGTATATAGGGAGTACATATCTATAAATGTTTATAGGCCGTAAAAAATGTAGTGAAAATTTATGTTTCAACCAACAAAACATAAATTCTTTAAACCCACTAAGGATATTTTCTTTTGGACTGTTTTCAGTCCCAGATCAGATCTCCATAGTTATAAAATGCATAACGATCAGACGTTTCAACCAACAAAGCATAAATTCTTTAAATCCACAAGTGTTGGTTTTTATGCAATAGTCTAGCTAGGTTTATTGTTTATGTAGAAAAAATATCTTCTTGAGAAGTGACAGTGATATACTATCATCCGTTTTTTAATTCTTGCAACAGTTGACTTTCACGTTTGACAACGCACAATTTTGACTGCAATTATATTTAACTATGTATTAATAAACATTATAAAAGTTGATATTTTGGAAATTCACATTGATAGGAATTCAATAACATTTTATATGTAATTATTTGATTATGTATATTACTAGAAAATCGCGATCAAAGTAAAATCTGTGAATAATGCAAAATCACAATGTTGCAAGAATTAAAAAACGGATGAAGTACTTCCTAGTTCGTGCTACTAAATTATGAAGAATGTATGTGAAAATCCGTGGAGAACAATTTTGACTTGGGTGAAAACCCCTGTTCTTGGTAACCATGTGTAACCTTTACTTTTGTGTGTCACTTTTTTGTTCCAATTGAAGTTGTTTTTGACTCACATTGGATTGAAATGCTAGATCCCCTCCTGAATATCCATATGAATTGAATTCTATTTTAGTAGTATAATAAAACTACAAAATTACATTTTATTTTATATTAATACGGAGTATTATATTTAATACGGAGTAATTTACGCCTCCTATTGGCTATAGTCCTATTTAACTTTGAAAAGGGCTTTCAATATTTCAGGGCGGGGCCTGGATATACATACATGCATGCATGTGATCGCTGCGCTAGCTCTTCATCATCATATATCCATCTTGCTCTTCAATTATCTATCTCATGGATATAGTAAAAAGCATCAGGGCATATTATTTGAATATAAGGAACTGTATTTCTCCCCCACCCCCTCCCAAACCGAATGAGGAAAACCTCACTTTCATGACTTGTCTGTTCAAAGTAGACACCAATTCTCCAGGGTGGCACAAAGCAATCATCGCTATCTTAAGAAGCAATAAAGGTACGTATGCATACATCCATTGAATTGCATGCAATGTCATGTCTCTTAATAATACATACTCCCTCTTTCAAAAAAAAAATAATACATACTCCCTCCGATTCTGATTCTCCTTTACAGTTTGACTTCACGAATATTAAGGGAAAAAATTAACTTTACTGTAGAGTACACTGTTTGGCGCTGTTTTGCACTACTTGGTATAGATTTGTAAGGCAAATAACTGAAATAAGGAAGTGTAAAGTTGATTTTGGTACTGACAAAAAGGGAAAGTGTAAACAAGAAACAGAACCGGAGAGAGTATATACTTTATTTTTGTTATTGGACTTTGTCGACTTTACTTTATTGTTTGTTCTAAGAAAATTGTCATTTTCATTTTAGAGTGATGAATTTGAGTACGGATTGGTGGAGCCAGAAATGTTAAGTGGGCGAGCTTAAAGAATTTGTATATAGAGGTCCAAATTTTAAAATTACACTATTTTTTAAACCTCTTTCTATCTACACACCGAGTTCAATTTATTTTCTCTTCTTTACATCAAATTTTTACTTTTCTTATTTCACACCTAACACACGGTTAACAATATCTAATGAAATAGAGGTAATTAGGGGAGTGTTTGGAACTGATTCTACTTCTGCTTCTTTTTTAAAGCAGAATCATAATCAGTTTTCAGAAGCCGGTCTCCCCCAGGCCCCAGCTTCTAGTAAACTGATTCTAGGAGTAAACTAGAGAACTAGAAATACTTTTACACCTTCATCCAAACGCTTCAACTTTTGTTTCTACTCCCTGAAAAAATAGAAACAGTTTTAAGAATCAGGTTCAAAGTAATATACATATTCATTTTTTTTTGATGAATGTAGGAGGGAGAAGCTTCAAGATGAGTCAAAGCGGAGAGATAATGGTGACGGGGACAGGGGATCTGAACCTGCTCCTCAAAATGCTGAAAAAGACTGAAAAATCAACGGAGCTGGTTTGGGTTCAATCCGGCCTCTGCTCGTCTAACTTGTTCCTCATCAATGATAATGGCCAGCTGGGACCACCAGGACCTTTTGGTCTACAGCCATCCAATCAACCTGCTCACTTTCACTCCCAGTACGACTTCAACGGATTTTTTAGTACGATTCCGCCACCGCAACCGCCGCATGCTTATCATCTCCCACCGCCTCTCAATACCACATATGGAGTGGATCGTGATAGAAGCGACCTTCAACATGGTCGACGACCATTCAGACCCAACAACCAGGGACGGTTTTAGATGTGGAATTTCAAAATTTTCTAGTCCTATGTGTAATGTATTTTCATACTCCTTAATATTTTTTATAAATATATATATACGTGTTTCCCGAATGTTTTTAGTTGTACCGTAATTTGTTGGTATGATCTGATCTGCTCTAAACTGGTCTCATCTGGTTATGTCTAGTCTTTTTATATTTTTATACATGTCCAAGTTTGATCTGAACTAGTCTTGTCTGAATTGATATGATCTGGGATGGATTACAATCCAAGTAAAAACATCCTAAGGCTTTAACGTTTGATTTTCAATTTTAATTTATATTGAAATACAATACCGGGTATAATAGGTAAAATACTTAAGAGGAGTTGTAAAATGAGAAAAATTTAATAAAACATACTCCCTCCGTCCCAGGGAGAAGTTCCCAATTTCCTTTTTTGGTAGTCCCAACAAAAAGTTCTCGTTTCCCTAAATGGAAAGTTATCCTACATCAAAACAGTGTCAAACAGTGCAAAACAGTGTCAAACAGTGTCGAAACAGTGTCAAACAGTGTCGAAACAATGCCAAACAGTAAAATTTACCCCTCAGTAACTTTATTTCCTAAATATGTGTGAAAGTCAACCCGGGAACTTCTCCCTGGGACGGAGGGAGTATTTTAAAAGGTAATTCTAAATAAAGCCCCAATTTTACCCCTAATTAAAATTAATTAATTAAATGTAAATAATTTGTCTATCATATCCCTATCGTCTTAAGATGATTTGCACTAAAGAAAAGCTCATTCCGATCACCATCTCCGATCCATATTTACCCCTACCCAACTATCTTGTTCCTCTAACCAGATCAAAATTAAAAGGCCTCCCAAAAACTAAGCTGCACATATACGGATTATTTCATATTACTTGACAAAAACGCCAAACAAGAAACTAGACGACAGGGGTGGAGACAGGGGTGTGGCTGGCGGTGGCCGTGGCCCCTGCAAGAAAAAAATTGTGATGTACATATGTATAAATATTTATAAGTAGTAAAAAATATAGTGAAAATTTAAGTATTGGCCCCGACTATTTAAATTCCTTAAGCCACGGCCCCTGTTAATTGACATTCCTGGCTCCCACAGCCCCACGTATGCAATTAGCTGTTGTCTATGAAACAGTGGTTTTTCTTGTTTTGCTAACCAACTCGAATACTACCATATCCACCCACCATCCATGGATTTCATTGCTCCACTTCACCATAAGCTTGATGCCGGGATCATCAATCAGATCAGGTCGTCCGGTTCCCTGTCATCCCGGTAAACTTTTTTGGAGGGTGGCAAGGAGAGGCTAGGGGATAAAAGCCTATGTATGAGGAAAAGTGAAAGATACGTTTTTACCTGCTCAGAGCCTCATCAGAAACAAGCCTTACTACATCAGAATCATATGGGTAGGGATATAATAGGAATTTTATTTATATCTAATTAATTCATTTTAATTAGGGGCTGTGTTTAGAAAAATTGGGGCTGCAATTTAGAATTATCCTATTTTAAATTTAATTTTTACATAAATTAGTAGAATGAGTCAATCTAACCACTTCAATCAGAACTTCATACATTTCAATCAGCGAATACAGTCGGCTTGAGTCGGCTTGAGTATCAACGACGGGCTCATGAAGTAGTAGCAAAAGAAAGTATGTGAAAAAGTGATTTATGAGAAAACAACTATACATTGCCGAAGCAAAAATGAAATATTTGTAAGAAATCATTTCCATTAGAAACAGAAAGTAGTTATACCAAATGAAAGAATGTGAAAAAGTGATTTGATGAGAAAAAACTTAACATTGTAGCAAAAAAAACGTTGGGAAGATATTATGGAAAAATTGACAAGAATAATCTCACTTTTCACTGATCTTCTCATAATAATCCTACCTTTAGGTAATATCAGAATAATATCACTTTTGCACTCTATCTACTACTAACACGGGTGATCTAAGTGAGGCGATGCCTGTGAAGTAGCGGACCTGGGCGTAAGAAAGGCATGAGAGAATTGTGTATGAATTGATAGAGCAGGGGATTAGAAGTGAAACAAAGATGATGTACGACCTTCATGAAGCTAACGAAAGTTACGAAACCACAGAAATCGGATACCGTGAGAAGTTCATGAGGTTTAGTTAACGGCAGATGCGGGCCGGGTAAAGAGCATGAACATATAGCCGGAGTACGATGCCTTCACCGTGATGTACAACTTTGTATAGCTATGCCATTACCACCAACAAATTTTTCATGACTAAAAGGGTACTAACTTTGCTTTTATAATTTTGTAGATATCTCCATTTGTGTTCATATTTCATACTATCGTATGTGATAAAATTTAAGCCGTTTGTATAGTAGATACGGAGTAGTAGGTACTATAATGGTCTGCAAATTTGTAATAACTAGCATTTTGAATATTGTATTTATTTTGTTTTAACGAAGGTAGCTTTACACACATATTAAGGAGATAAATTTACCAGAGAGTAAATTTTACTATTTTGACATTGTTTCAACACTGTTTGACATTGTTCTGCACTGTTTTGATAGATAACTTGTCATTTAAAGAAAATGAAACTTCTTTTTGGGACTGCTAAAAAAGGAAAGCGGGAACTTCTTTGCGGGACGGAGGGAGTAATGGCTAAAAATGGAATCACTCATAATTTTTTAAAAATTACTCACTATTCACAATCCCCAAATTGCTATTAATAGTGATTTATTTAATTAAAATTAAATAAAAGTAACTCATGGTTTTTTAAGGCGCAATTCTATTCACAACCTACAAATTGATTTTTACATTAATTTAATTAATTAAAATTAAATAAAAATGACTCAAATATCTAAATTACCCTTATATAGCAATGGTTTGAAATGGTCGGTTAAGGAATGACTACCTTGTCTATAAGAGAAAGGCAGAACTTGAAAACCACAAGTACATGCGCCAGAAACCAAGAAAGCCAGAAAAATAGAAACCTTGGAGAAGTAGAATTTACAAAATCACTTCACTCAGGTGGTTGTTAAGATAACGTATACTCCGTAATAGGTATTATATACGGAGTAGTTTTATGCTATAACTTTCCATCATTTGCAATGGAGCCAAAGACTTACTATTTTTTGACATGGAAATATGATGGAATAAAACAAAATGGCTCACTAAACAGTATGCGCTTCTTTTTTATGAAACAGCAGTCGGTCCATGCAATTTTGACGCGATTTTCACCATGGATCATCCAGAAACAGTCTCTCTATGCTTTAATACAGGGGTAAGACTGCGTACATCTGACACCCTTTCACCCCACCGTAGGTGAAAGCCTTTGCGGCACTGGGGTAATGATGATGAGGAGTAGTTTTATGCTATAACAGCACGTTTAGCAAATGAGTGCAAAAAGAATCCCTTTTTTAAGCCTATAAATGTTTAGGAAAGGTGAATGATGAAGGAATACAAGCCCCTGCAGCCCAGATCAGTAAGTCCACTTAGCAACCCAGATAAATAAGCCCACCCAGCAGCCCAGAATCCCAGATCATTAAGTCTGTAGACCATAGTCTTTGCCCCCTGTGCCAGCCCTATAGCCGAGCCTCTGCTAAAACACTCAGACAGACAACAACTAGGGATCATCATTTAGCCTGTGGGGGCCAACCCATCCCAGTTGCCAAAAAGCCTAACCCAGCCCAGCCCGTATGGGCCACGGGTTGGCCTGGCCCACTAATTGAAGGGGTAGGCATGGGGCAGAGCAGTTAAATCCCGGCCCACCCAGCCCATTGGCCCGACCCGTCAAGACTCGTCTCGCCCCAGCCTAGTAAGCCCACATGAGCCCAGCCCATAAGCCCTTTATATGCTACTTATTCATTTTATAAAAGTAATGAGTAATAACAATTGAAGTATTAATTTTCTTAAAAGATCGGACATTGCGAAAAACTAAGACGCAAGAAAAGGCAATATTGGATTAAGAAGGGGAATATAATACATATATTACTGCATCAAGACCAGATTGGAAGACTATAGTTGATATAAAAGAGAATGAAGTTCTCGATGATTATTAGGTTATAAAAGTTTGTGATAAAGTTTGAAAAGTTTGAACATCTCTATTTTAAGAGTGTACTACCAAAATTTTAAATATAGATAATTTTGAACTTAAATTTTGTTATTACATTATTTGAAATAATAAATTCTTTTTCACTGATTTAGTTGATTACATTGTGTTGTGTGATAATATAAAGAATTTTGAATTTTCTTGTAAGCACGTATAGGCCCTTGCCCTATTAGTGACATGTGGGCCAGTCCGGCCCTTTAAGCCATAGTATATAGACGGGCCAGGGCTGCAATTCTTTTACAAAAGCCCAGCCCGGCCCAACCCATTAATTAATTATTTATATTAAGCCTAGCCCGACCCAACCCAAACCCATTAGTTTTGGGCCGATGTGGCCCAACCCAGTATGTTGATGATCCCTAACAGCAACAACGGTTCAGCGACAGACCTCACAAAAGTCGAAGTCCAACGGCGAGTCGGCATCTCGGCGACCACGGCCCGTCGACACTCCTTTAGCCCTTTTTCAGTTCTTCTGAGTTCTTACTTGCTGAGTTGCGGTAAACGTACGCCCTATAACCTTGAATATCAGAATTTTTTCTTCCCATTTTATTAATTGTTAATTTTTTGTGCAATTCTATTCTCATTTAATACATTTTTAATTGTATTGTCATCGTAGATTGTTAATTTAGTTTCTTATAATCGTTTTAATTGTAGTATTTCTAGTTTCTTTGACAAAGAATACATATGTTACTATTTTATAACTGTTTCCTAAAGGTAGTGTTGAGGTTTATTCCTTCAACCCTTGGACCCAACACGTAAGCCCAAAGATTTCGAGTGGAGTAAGTATAAGGATATCTAGCCCAACAACTATGAGATGGATCAGGAACCAAAAGTAATAGCAGGCAATGTAAATAGGTATTATTAATCTTCGTAATAACTCCCCTAAGTACAATCTACTTGCTAAAAAGGGCACGTCGGCCGTTCGTCTTACAAGGCAGTAGGAATGCTCCGAGTAAGAATACAATAGCTAGATGCTAAGAATAGAAAGTTGCCAACCCTTTACAATGAAATAAATGCTTCTATTTATACCCACCAATGGGCAGGTGGCTGTACTGACGTGGCAGCCTGTGGACCGCTGGTGTCCAA